TAAATAATTGGACTCAAAAATATAAGGATAAAATTGCATTGGGTTTTTCGGTAGCAATTTGGCGAGCTTCCGTCCAACAGTTGATTCACTTAATTTGGACCTTGAGGGGGTATCGAGGGGGAAAAAAGGTAAGGCTTGACTCAAGCCAAACTGCCTCGAGAAAAGTTGAGGATAATAAGTAACAAGCTGAAGATCCTTTCATTGAAAACTCGATACTAACACATCTTGGGTCAAGTAATTGCTCCATACTTCAACCAATTCTGACTGCAGCCCCGGAGTAAGAGCAGGAAATTTCGATTTAAACCATGTTGGTCCTCGAAGTTGATCACTTATTTTTCCGAGATACACAGTGAAAGGGGCCAAAATTGAATCAAAATGGAATCGAGTTAATAAAAATCTCAGGTAATTGCGATAAGTAGCCTCATTGGGTTTGTGGTGAGGATGTCGAGAGGACAATCAAGAACCTTCCAAATTCAAACTTGAGGGGATTTTGGAGGTTGGGGGGAGGATACTTTCAAAAATCGAGTTCAGCCATAATTGGATAAACCAAATGGGACATGAAAAATTTCCCGAAGCCCTGGGGGTATTCAAAATCTTGACGGCCTCATCAAAAGCAGTATAGACATGGGCTAATAAAAGTTTTGCTAAACAAATTCGAGGCTGGCCAATATGTAGGAGATAGGCAAGGTTATAAAGGTGGGATGAAATTTGGATGGATCGGGGGCAGAAAACATGAGTACATAACCAATACACCAGGAAGACTATATGCTCCTCATCAGTTACAGCTATCGATGGATCATCGACGAAGTGCTTTTCGATAAAATGTCCATACGCCTTCGATTCCCACTCGATTTTTGACCTTAAAGAATTATCCGAAGGAAAAACACCCTTAAAATATTTTTCCCCTATCGGTTTTAGTTCGGTAATAGCAGTAATTTCAAAGAGGGTGGGTGAAAGGGGACCACAAGGTAGTTCCAATGCATGCAAGTCTTTATTCCAAAGGTGGACAGCTAATAAGAATATAGCCATATCTAAATAAGATAAATCACATCGAGACAGATGCAGGAAATCGAAGATCCCCACATCTCTCCAATGGTTCCCAAACTTGGTTTTTACTCGATCAAACCACCTAATATACAAGGGTTTTTTGTAGGGAGGGCTCGTTCGGTATACTTTAGATACAATGTTCAGAAAGTCAATTCGAACTTCAGATTGATGAATAGGAGCCTTGCTCTTTGAAGAAAGATTGAGGGAAGAAAAAGATCCGCCATAATAGCGAATAGGACCTCCAAAAGCGTAATTAACATTATCAGCAATGTAGGGAATGAGTACCTGCGTCTCAGCGATCTTCTGAGAAGCTTCCTCCATCAAAGGAACTGGAGCAAACTTCTGGCTATTAATCTCCAGTAGGTTAGCGGTCACCGAGGGAAGTGGTGGGGCGGAGAAGTCAGAGGATTTGGATGAGGTCGCCATTTCAGTAGTCGATATAGCAAACGAGGACGAAAGGTAGAAGACGAAGGTGCAAAGGAGGAGTGAATTAAGTTCGTAGTAAAAAACAAGGGTAAAAAGGCTAACAAGCGTTTAAAGGAAACTAACTAGGGTATTGGAAGCGACGGAGGCGAAGGGTAATTAATGTGGTGAGTGCAGTGTGGCAGCAGAACTGACGTGATAGGTGACATAAAGTAGAGAAAACCCTAAAACCCTATAAACCCTAAAAAACCCCAGAAACCCTAAACCCTAAGTTATTGTGGGCCTCCAAACATGTAAAAGCGGGAATCATGTTGAAAGAATATAAATACAAATATTTATATTCTTCCAAGGGGGCATTTTGTTAGTGGGAAATCGTTAAAAAGATCGAAAAACGAAGGAAAGAAAAATCGAAGATCATATGATTGGTTAAAAACTGATAAAATTGGTAAAAGACACCTGGTAACCACAAAGATAAAAACACATCGAAAATCAAAATCGAGAATCGAAGAAACAAATTTCGATGTCTATTGTTGAAGAGAATCGAGAGATTAGAATAGTGCAAAGTTAAGAATTAAAGGGAATCAAAAGCAAAATTCAAAATACTCGATGTCTGAAATCGAGATCAAGGGAGCGGTTAACACATACAGGGGACACAGGAAACGGTTCTGAAACCGTGGCTCAGATCGAAGAGCAAGGGAGCAATTCTCTTGTGCGTGAGAACGTGGAATGCAGTTTTTTACTATAAGACTGAAGATACGTGCACGTAGGATCGTGGTGACAGTTTTATTAACCACTCTTAGGAGGTTACTTGAAGGATGCTCTATAAATAGAGCGAATACTGGAAAAAGAGGGGAAATTGGCAGAGAGAGCTGAAACACTAGTGAAAAAGTCTACCGGAGAACGACGAAATCATGAAGTTTCTGGCGATCTGGATTTCCATTTTCTTTGATTGTCTTTACCGCTTTTTGTACTTTCCCTGGTAATTTATGTTCATGCAATTTATTTTGATGCAGTTTACGTTTAGCAACTTTCAGTTTCTGCACTTTCAATTCCTTGTCACTTACTTCTATGCAAGTTAAGGTTATGCGTTTAAGATCCTCGCCATTTACATTTCTGCAATTTCGATTTCCCGTTCTTTACTTTCCTACTATTTACATTTCTGCAATTTCGATTCCTTGCCATTTACACTTAATGCAAATTTGAGGTTTCTGCATTTTACATTTCTCTGCAATTTAATATTCTGCACTATCTTTCGATTCGACGCTTTTACTGCTTTCTTTACTTCGCATTCCTTAATAAAAAAATACCAAAAATAAGACTTTCGATTTGCATACTAGTTTGCGTTGTTTATATTCTCATGCATTTTTCGATTGAAAGCCATTTGCTAGCCTAAATAAAAAGAATCTACGTGGTTAAAATTTGGTTAGAACCTAAGTCTCGATTTAATCGAAATCGATCAAATTTTCACCAGAAACACTTATATTGAAATCAAATCAGATAATGATATTGCACAAATGATCAATCGTTGGACAATTGATGCTTACTTGCAATAATCTCCCCCTCAGCAATTGTCCTACAAGGAATCCTATTCTTGGATTGTGATTCGGCCCACCCGGCCTCCGCCATGGGACAATTGTGCAACGTGCATCAATCTCCCCCTTAACAATTGTCCACTAGGAATCGAACTCGTGACCTTGGTTCTGATACTGATTGTTAGGATCGAATGTTTATTACTAGGCCAAAAATTATAACCATTAGTTAGAGTATAACTCTTTTTACTTAAGAGTAATAGCCTAAGCGTCACGATTCGATTATGACCCGGCCCACTCGGCCTCTGCCACGGGACAATTGATACTACTTGCAACAAACTTAACCCTTGGATTCAACATATAAAAGGGGTGAAATGTAAACTATCTTAGATATAATGATTTTGATTCAATAAATATATTTCCTATTTATTATAATTATACATTGTTCAATTTTTTATCAATGTTCTCATATCTTATTGTATAACATATCAATTTTTAAATTCTTACAAGAATTTAAATTCATATTAATAAATTACATTACACTTATATATTTTTTATTTCTTACACATACAACTTTTTTAAACTATAATTTAAAACATATTACAATTAATATAATAAACATATAACTCTTTTAAAACTATAATTTAAAACTCCACAAATTTTAAATAAAAAGTTATAGTTTTACATATATTTTTTATTCACAAAATTTTTATTTAATGTAAAAAGGATTTCAAAAATATTAATACATTATTTTTCCTATCTATAACTTATTTTCATTTCTAAATATAATATATATATATATATATATATATATATATATATATATATATTCCAAAATATACAAAACATAAAAAAAATACATTTCAAAAATATAATTTTACATAAAAATATTATTTCATCTTATCTTATCTACATATAATTTTTAAGATTTTTATTATCCTCCTAATTTATTATTAATTTTAAAAAAATATTACAATATGAAATAAATCAAAGAATTAAAAAAAATTAATCATACAAATAAAATATAAATATAATATTTAATAATATATTTTAAAAATATTATTTTACTAGTTTTAATAATAAATCTAAATATATTATTAATCTAATAAATATATAAATCTTTTTAAAACTATAATTTAAAACTATAAATTTTAAATAAATATTATAATATTATATATATATATATATAATTTAGTTTTTTTCATAACAAAAAGAAAATTAATTCAAAATTCGATTGATTGAAAATTGAATTCTAAATAATTTAAAAAATATATATATAACCATATTCAGGTTTCGTGTTCGTGTATCAGAAAACTAAATTCTCAACTTAAAAAGACAATGTTATGTAAATAAATAAAACCTAATTTGAGGAGTTAAAAAATGAATATGTGTGAAAGCAGCACAAATTTCTCCTTTCAATCCTGTCTTACTCAAATTTCCTGTAATCTCCCTGTTGTTTACGACCAACTCCTGTTCTAAGTAATGAATTATCTTCACTGCTGATTTGTTTAATGGTTTTCACATTCACCAACACATTACACACACAAACTTGTTGGGTCAAATGCTAAATTTACCTTTGTTTCTTATGGTTTCGTAATAAGTAATTTGATCTTTGTAAGAATTATATAACACTTTTTATTTCAGTTTTTATTTTAAAATTTATTATTGAACATTGGTATTATTAACAATTTTATTAGAAATTAAATAATGAACTAGGAGTAAATTATAATTGTTTAATTTTCAAATCAAATTTACAGTTTTCTATTTTAAGAAATCAAAATTTACATTCATGAAAATCATAAGGATCAATATTGGATTTAATCCTCCAAACAAATAATTTTGCCTGTCCATATGCATGATGCAGTAACAAATTTTAAATTTTAAGAGCATATAGTTGAAGTTTCACACTCAGTAACTTGTTATACAGCAAGAAAAAGTCAGTATCGGGTTTTCAGCTCTCCCACTTTCTCTGCGGAAACCCTAATTCCCAAATCTTCAGCCATGCCCCAGAAGCGGAAGCAGCACCCTCCTACCACTGAAGATCCTCCAACTGTTTCCTCCTCCGAATCCGAGGAAGATGATGAGCAAGCACCTTCCTCTCAACCGCATGCAGCACCAGCAGAAGTACAGGTTTCATCCTCTGAGGAAGACGATACTTCCCAAGATGAAGACGATGAGCAACGTCCCATTCTCCCTGCTTCTGCACCATCCGACCCACGCCCCAAATTCTCCTCCTCAGAGTCCGAATCCGACACTGACTCCGAACCCACCCCGGCTAAACCCAAACCCGCGGACCAGGCCCAGACCCAGCGTTTCCCCACGCCGGTGAAATCGGGATCCAAGCGCCCCGCCAGCGTTACTGAGCCGAAACGCGCGAAGAAGAAACCAACCGGGGCTCCTTCTTCCTCTGTACCTAATGATGAGGCGGTGGAGGACGGGAAGAAGTCCAGCGGCCAGATGAAGGCGTTCCAGCGGATCTGGAGCAACGAAGACGTGTTAGGGATTTTGAAGGGCATGAGTGAATATATCTCAATGACTGGGCAGGATCCCTACAGGTACGCGGACGCATTCCACAACTTCGTTAAGAAGTCACTCCACCTGGAGGCTTCCAGCAGCCAGCTGAAGGAGAAGATCCGACGCCTGAGGAAGAAGTTCGAGACTCTGGAGCAGAGAGAGAAGCAGGGGCTGGAGCCTCGGTTCGTGTCACCTCAAGACGAGACTGCGTATGAAATCTCCAAGGAGATTTGGGGTGAAGGAGCCAATAGACTGGTGGAAAAGCCCAAGCTTGACAGGAAAGCTGCTAAGACTGCCAAGACTCCCAACAGTAGTGCGACAAAACCCAAACCCAAACCACCGCCGGAGCCATCAGCTCCGCCCCCGGATTTACCGGGGTCGGAAAACCATGATGGTGATGACGTGAGTTTGCTTTACCGCGAGATTTCTCGTTTTCAAGAGCTGGATAAGGATGACATGAAGAAGGGACTGACGCTAATGGGAGAATCGAAGAGGAAGGAATTAGAGGGAAGGTGGAAGATCTTGCGGCATGCTGAGATGGAGCTGCTCGTAAATCGCCATCTACTGATTGCGGAGCAGATTAAGTTGGTATCTGAAGCACTGCTTTCAAGTTCTTGAAAGCAATTGAGGTAGTAAAAATGAAGTTATTACTGTTTTGGAACAAACATTACTATTTATCCATGCCTTATTAGTTTTTTGCTGTGTAGCCTTATTATGTTTTTTGCTGTGTAGCCATACTTTTATTCTAGCGTACTTTTATTCTAGCATGTGACCTCTATGCTGTGTAGCCATGCTTTTATTCTAGCATGTGACCTTTTTGCTGTGTAGATACGTTTTTATTCTAGCATTCCCTGTTTGTTGAAACTCAATTATGACTATGTCAACCATTGCAGTAGATGACAATGTGTAGTTTGATTGCAGTGTGACAAGGTTTAGTGACAAAAAACCAGGTGTATCATGATAGAATTAGCATATTGCTGTGAGGTTCTACGGGATTAGGGGTTGTTTGCATCTATTGTAACCTTGTTTTCTTTTTGGTGACTCTTTCTGGTCGGTTTTATAGTCGGATTTTATAGTTTGTATCTTATAGTCCAACAGCGAAACAGAGCTATTTCTCAATCTGACATTCAATATGGTGCGTAACTCATTAATGTTGTTTATTTTCTTCTATATCTCGAAATGCATTGGAGTCAAGTATAATTATTTGCATACAACTTTCTTTTTTTCTTTCTATAAATTCATATTTCCTTAGTATCTGAATCTTATATTAAACAATTATAAGTTCTAACAAGTTTAATAGGGTACCAGATTTATTTTTCATTCATACTTACATTTGACCTACCTTCAAGTTACTTGCAGATATCCACTACTAAAGGGATGTGGAATATATATATATATAACAAAATCGCCAAAGAAAACAAGCTTTCATTTTGGTTTCCTAAAAGGTGTATATCTCAATATTTTCTTTTCTATGCTGAAAATTATTGGAATTTGATATGTCTACCTAAAACTTTCGTTGTTTTTTTATTAAGTGTTAAAAAATATTATTCTTTTACTTGGTTGTATTTATGATTTTTTTTATTCCAAAATACATTAGATAGATGTATGTTTAAATAGAACTCTTTCTATTCATGATTAATTATTTTATCATGTACTTGTTGAAAGTTGTAATTGTTTAATATAAAATTTGGTTACTCAGACGATTTCTTTATTTTCATTTAATATTGATAATTTAAAAATTATATCGTTAATTGATCACTTTCAATTTTGTATTGATTTTACGCATCACATATTGATTCAATTTAACACATTTTAACTTAACATGTCTTAATTTAGTTCAAATATTATTAGGTTTGAATTAATTACTCATAATAAATTTGGTTCATTTTGATCTAATTTATTTTAATTTGATTTATCTTTATTTAACTCCTCTTAACTCAATATATTTTATTTTAATTTATCTCAACTTATCTCTTCTTATATTTTCTAATTATTTTATATATATATATATATATATATATATATATATATATATATATATATATTATGGATGATATTAATTTACATCTTTTATCTTAAAATTTAATGAAAAAAAAATATAAATATTTTAAAAAATTTATCAAAGTTTTTTTCTTGTTCATATAATAAAATTTATATTTATGTCTTATTTTATACATTCAATTTTCATATTTTTATTCTATAAAGTCTTTTAAGGAGCGCGTAGAAATTTGGAAGATTGGGTATAAAAAAATTTGTGTGCGTAATATTCTTACAAAATCAAAACTTTACTCCTTAATAATGATAATTAAACTTGTACATGTGAAGACTAACCCATTTTCGTCCCGAATTTTACGGGGAGAACTTGAGTTGATCGAGGCGAGGGCGAGGTTTAGATTTTTCCGGTTTAAAAAGTCGAAGGCGGAGATGAGTAATGCAATCCCCGACCTTGTTCTCGTCTTCGTTCGACTTTATATTTAAATTTAAATTTTAAAATATTAATATTTTAATTTTTTTTTCTGTTTCTATTACATATAAGGTCATTTTTTTTATATTTCACCATTTTTATTTTTTTTTACCTATTTTTTTATTTTTTTATCTTTTTTAATCTTTTATATCAATTAATTTATTATATTATTCTCTTATATTTCTGTTTTTCACATTTCCTTATGTTAGACAAATGACATCTAGAAGGGGTAAATAAATGCACAAATTAAAATAGATGTCAAATTAAAAATTTATTTGTGAGTCAATAATTTGTTTGAACACAGATAAAGCGGAAGCGATAATATAATCAGGAAAAGAGAAAGAAATAAGGGAAAAAGAAGAGCATACAGAGATTTATACTGGTTCGGTATAGTCAACCCTACATCCAGTTCCCAGTCAACTCTTTACACAAGAGTGATTCTCCATTCACTATCTTTCAAATTCAGTTTATAAATTATAATCAACTCAGCAGAAAAATCAGTAAAAAGTAAACTAATTAAAAAGACAATCACCTCCTTAGAAACTCACTAAGGATGAACACCTCTCTAGAATCCCACTAGGGATGAACACCTCTGAACAAATCAAAAGATGAAAACACCTCCTTAGAATCCCACTAAGGATGAACACCTCCCTAGAATCACACTAGGAAAAAAAAAACACCTCTTTTTCACCAATACAAAAAGGATGAAGGTAATAAAAATAAGAACAGACACACCTGGGTAATGGAGACAATAAATTGTAGAAGCCTGTAAAATGTCAATTTCCAAGAACAAGTGTGATTAACAATGAAAGCACAAAAGACAATAGAGAATAGGGTTTTCTCAAAAGGTGTAAAATATCTCTGTTGCCTTGCTCAAAATTTATTGAATGTAAATTGTATTTTCGAATTACGTAATTGTGTGTTTTTTTATTTTTCATCAAAACTTAATTAAATATAAAAATAACATCGAGAAAATGGTTGTTGGACATTAATATTTTCGTGAATAAAAATTAAGATATATTCGAAATATTTATTCTTCAAAATAAATATATTTTTCAAATTTAAATTATCATAATTGATTATGTTACCAATGTAATCAATTATGACAGGGAAAATCATTTTTCCATTTCTAATGCATCATAATTAATTATGATAGTAAAAAAGATTATGTTATGAATTTTATCACACTTGTGCTTTGGAGGCTTATGCATAATATTACTTCATCAACTTGTACCTCCATATCTAGTATTCTAAGATTCTAAATAGTCTTCAGGAATCATCTTGGGCTTGCTTGAATCATCATCTTTATCAAAAACATATCTTGGGCATGTAGGGAAATGCTTCACATTTTCACCAACGTCATAAATTCAGTTTGTCATTAATTCATCTTGAATGGTGTTGACTTGAATGTAGTTGACTTGAATAATCATCAAAATCATCTATTTGGAATGTAAGGACATTTTCATCAATCTCCCCCTCATTGCTTTCAATCTCCCTTTTTTTTATGATGATCAAGGAAACACCTGAAATGAATTAAAATGCTTGACTCTATATAGTTAGCTCAAAATTAGCACAGATTAGCACATATTTGTATCAAGTGTCAGAGTCTCTTAATCTCCCCCTAGATATATTAATAACAAGACTTCCCCTAACTCATATGAGCAAAGACTTCTCTTAACTCCCCTAGTTTAATTTAGAGATAGGAAAGAATTTCACATAGATTTTAATTCATAAAAAAATCTCCCCCTGTTTCACATAGATTAATATCATCAAAATATCTCCCTGTTTCATTGATAAGTATGAAAAATATTACAATAGAAATTGAGAATAAATTTGTACATATTAGTACATAAATCAAGGTAGAAAAAATAATGCATTACAAAGTGTCATAGAAAAGAATATCATATTAAGGAGACAATATTTAAGATACCCAAAACAAATGAAGAGAGAGAAAGATAAGGGAATAAAATGATTATAGAGATAATGAAATGAAATGAAATGCGATAGTTTTTCCCAATTGCAATCTTCTTATTTCGACAGACTTTCAAATTCAAATGCACTCATATTCTAGATTTCAAAATTCAAATTCAAATTGCAACAAATTTCAAATTTCAAATTTAAATTCCAACAAATTTCAAATTTCTAATCCCAAATTTCAATTTCAAATTCAAATTCAAAAATCTCATACTTGCAAAAATTTCAAATTTCAAAATTTCAAACTATAAAATTTCAAATTTCAAATTGTAAAATTTTAAATTTCAAAAATATTATACTTGCAAAATTTTTAAAAAATCTCAAACTGCAAAATTTCAAATTTTAAAAATTTTAAATTGTAAAGTTTCAAATTTTAAGAATCTAAAATTGCAAAATTTAAAAAAAAATCTCAAACTACAAAAATTTTAAATTTCAAAAATTTCAAATTGCAAAATTTTAAATTTCAAAAATTTCAAATTTCAAGAATCTCAAACTGCAAAATTTCAAACTTTAATAATTTCAAATTTTCATAAATTTAAACTTTCAAAATTCAAACTTTCAACATAATTGATTAAGACAAGAAAAAAATTTCGATTCTAATAATCAATTAGATGCTCAAATTATCATCTAGACATGTATAAATGTTTTGTTCCATTACCCATTCATATTTGTCATTAGATATGTCAAAATGTTTTATGTAACATCTATTTGATGTATGACCTAATTTCATGCAATAAAAACATGTTGGTTTTCTTTGATAATGTCTAAATGCGTTTCTTAAAGTTTTTGAAACTGGTTTCACATATGTTTTCCTTGACTCTTTCACAAAAATATTTTTATGAGGTTCTAGACTTTTTTTGGGTTTGTAATCAAGTCCAACTTTGCTAGAATTTCCTCTTTGATAACCTAATATAGAATCAAGATTTTCAGAAGATTTTGAAAACTTGCTTATTATTTTCTCTAACTTGAAAATCTCATTTTCCAAAAGATTATAATTTTCACAAGGTTTAGCAACTTCTTTATTTTTAGACAAAATTTTAAATTTCTCAACATCTTTCTTTAAACACTCATTTTCTTTTTCAAGAATACTAACAGTATTTTCTAATGCATTAAACTTTTGCCTAAGTGCATTGTATTTCTTAGATAACTTGGTAAAACCTTCATACATGTTTTGATATTC